TAATTTGTTTATATTAAAGGCTACTTGCCTGCTCAAACATATTGGTTATAAATAAGTACACAGATAGAGCCTTGTATTATATATTGTAATTAATTTTTTGTCAACATAATAAAAATACATTTTAAGATTCATTCAACTGTTTGAAACCAGCAGTTGTGAAAATATATGCCTTGTGTATGGACACATGTGTGTGCATGTGTTTCTTTAAACTGGCAGGGGATAAAAACCCTAAGTATCTGTGACAACATAAAGAAATAAAGCAATGGCAAGGGACAGATGGAACTTTCTGAGTTGGACAGCATTTTCTACTCTGAATCCTCTTCAAGAAGTATTTCAAGTGGACTTGCCATGATCACAGTTTCTCTGACACTTATGGAAGTTTATAGGATTCCACATACACCTTAATTCTTTTAAAAACTGACAAGATTTTTCTAGTTTTATACAAATTAACTGTAGGAAATGGTCATTAAAGACAGACAGACAGACAAGGCAAAGATCAAGAGAGTTGGTTTTCTATTGATCTCCCTAACAAGTTTGTTAATGGGAGGGCAAACTTATAGAAGAAGAATATTGAAATTAATAATTCTAAATAGTGACCTCTTTTCCTTCTGACCAGCTAAGGTTATTTATAGAGCAAGAATTAAATGCATAACTTTAAATTTCTATGGAAAAATAAAAATAGAAGTGTCACAAGTTTGTATTGTGTTTTCCCAGTTATCTGGGTGATTGACTTCTGGTGTGTGTGTGTGTGTGTGTGTGTGTGTGTGTGTGTGTGTGTGGTGTCGATTGTTTGGCTTTGCCTTCCCATGTGCCTCAAGAGTTGGAGACACATTTTGCTCTTCTATTATGTCATGATATGCCATTTCAATATTGGAAAGTATAACTTTTGACATTGGGTTTTATAACCTTCTTGTTATTATAAAACAATGAAAGCTTGGACTTCAAGAGAAATGGTTGCTTTTCTCATATCATTAAACACATTTCTTATTTGTTATACTCTAGAATTCCATACTTTCCTAGAATTACTTATCTTAAATGTTTTCCTTGGTCACTTTGAAAAACTTAATGTCTGTTCTTCAATAGAAAATATGCCACAAGTAGCACCCCATGTGAAAATGCAGAAATTACACTATCAATCTGTCAGGAAAGCTTAAGGGCATGACCTCAGTTACTACAAAGAAAAACAGGTATTCTTCATACTGTTGGAGCCATTATGCATCTAAAGCAAAATCTTATTTTTTCTTTCTTTCTTTTGAAAGATTTTAGTTTGCTGAGAGAAAAAGTTTTGAAAGATTTTAGTTCACAGAGACAAAAAGTTTCCCACAGGCTTGGCCCATTGCAAGGAAGCTGGCCCCAACCCCGGGCACATCCTATGGTTTAGACGGGGGCAATCGCCAAGACAACCCCCTATGGGTCACACCTGGCTGGCCAACAGACAATCAAGGACTTTCCAGGGTACGTTCTGTGACTTTTCCTTTGTAGAAAAGCAGGTCACACCTGGGTGACCACTTTAACATGAGATCATACTTTGTAATCAATCACTTTGTGCTCCTTGCCTGTATGCTGATCTGCGGTTTTTTCCTATATAAGGAGCTTGCACCCCATGCTGTGGTGTGCAGCTTTCCCGATATTGCTGACACCCGAATGTGCATTGGTTCAATAAACCCTCTTGCTTTTGCAGCTCTTGGTCTGGTTTCTGAGTCTCGGGGGCTCCTTGGGATCTTGAGGCCCTTAGGGGTTTGGGGTCTTTTTCTTTCTTTCTTTCTTTCTTTCTTTCTTTCTTTCTTTCCTCCTTTCTTCCTTTCTTCCTTTCTTTCTTTCTTTTTGTTTTTTGAGACAGGGTTTCTCTGTGTAGCTTTGGAGCCTGTCCTGGCACTCGCTTTGGAGACCAGACTGGCCTCGAACTCACAAATATCCACCTGCCTCTGCCTCCCGAGTGCTGGGATTAAAGGCATGAATATATATCAAACCACCAGAAGTTCTCACACTTTCATATTAAGCATTTAAAATTTTTAAAAATAAATAATAAACATTAACAGTAATTAGGTGTTCTGTTAATTTTTTATGAAGTGGCATTCCTAATGGTCTAAATAGCTGCTTACATTAAAAAAATCACTAAATTCTAAAATAAAAAAGTTTGGGAACCTGAAAAAAGGAACACACACTTGTACTGAAAGCAAATCAGACCAGGTAATTCTTTATTTAACAGCAGGTAGGTTGGTAGATGTTGGATGGATAGATAGATAGATAGACAGATAGATAGATACCAATAAAGCCTGGCAAATTCCATGTCTTTAAATATAGTATTAAATGAAAGGTAAATTTAATTTTTTCTTTTTTATTTAAATTAGAAACAAGCTTTTTTACATGTCAATTTCAGTTTCTTCTTCCTCCTCTCCTCCCCTGCCCCCCACCAATCCCCTATCCTAATGCCTTTCTGCTCCCCAGGTAGGGTGAGGCCTTCCATGGGGGAATCTTCAAAGTCTGTCATATCATTTGCAGCAGGGCCTAGACCTTACCCAGTGTGTCTAGGCTGAGAGAGTATCCCTCTATTTGGAGAGGGTTCCTAAAGTTCATTTGTGTACTAGGGGTAAATACTGACCCACTTCCAGTGGCCCCATAGATTGTCCAGACCTCCACACTGACCTCCTTCAGGGGTCTGAAACAGTCTTATGCTGGTTTCCCAGCTATCAGTCTGGGGTCCATGAGCAACCCCTTGTTCAGGTCAGCTGTTTCTGTGGGTTTCTCCCGCCTAGTCTTGACCCCTTTGCTCATCACTCCTCCCTCTCTGCAACTGGATTCCAGAGTTCAGCTCAGTGTTTAGCTGTGGGTGTCTGTGTCTGCTTCCATCAGCTACCGGATGAAGGCACTAGGATAGCATATAAGTTAGTCATCACTCTCATTACGAGAGAAGGGCATTTAAGGTAGTCTCTTGACTATTGCTTAGATTGTTAGTTGGGGTTCAGTAAGTTAAATTTAATTTTTACAAAGAAGTAAAGCTGTCTTTAATCCCCATTCATCTGGCAACAGAAAAGAATTAAGTCATTTAAGAAATTCCAGCATTCACATAATCCCTATTGGGTATCAGGTACCAGAGTTCTACCACCCCTGAACTTTAGAAAATCTCCGCTAAATCTTCATGCATGGTTATCAAGTAATGGTTATACTCATGAACTTAAAATATATAAATATGTACTCCATGAAATAGGAACAAGACTTTTGCTATCTCCAGATTACCATGATCCAAATATGTACCTACCACCATCACTTTATCCAGATGTTAACTGTAGCCCTGCTGTGTGTAATAGGAGATGGCAATGTAGAAGAATACCAAAGAACGTTACCAATGCTGTCCTGCTACTTCATGACCTTGTTTGTAAGCGTGAATGGTTTCCAAGTTGAACATACCTTATAACAGTCTGTGGATAGAATGTTTTATAATTGATGAATTATGTGGTGAGAGAATACAGCTAAGAAGTCTGAGGTTATGGAGTACCATAGATACTAATACGTTTGTCATGCCTTTTAGCCATATACTACTAATTCTACTTCAACTCCATGGTAACTTGTCAATTATGTCTAACAAACAAGTTTTCATGTGAGTAGGTTAATAATGTAGTCCTGTGACATAAAACTGTACTTCGAAATTGAGTAGAAAATGGTAGGGCTCATTGGGAACCCAGGAAATCAAACTGGTTATCTCTGTGGAGTGATCAAAGGATGTAAACAGAAAATTGTCCTAGCCCATCAATCCCCTACCCAACTTTATCAATAAATAATGAATTTTCTCATTTTATTTGGAAAACTCACATTTTTTTCCAAATGAAATTAGCAGGCTCAACATATTAAGGGCAAGAGATCTTATGTGGGCAGGCTGTAAAGAATCGGTTTGAAGACTAAAAGAAGCACTTCCATCAAATTCAAAATTGAATCTTTTAAACACTTCATAATAGTATATGATACTATGGAAATATATTATGTGACCAGGAAGAATTAAGGAACCTGACATGAGAATGCGTGGGATTTGTTACACATAAATAAGCAATCATCTAAGTAGGACTAGCCCAGGCTTTTGCACCAAATGGAGAAAGAAACAAACAAAGGGTTGAATAGCACAATGAAGACTGTATTACATTCAGACAATAAAGAATTGTCTTTTATTTGGAGCCAAAAGATATTTTTATCTGTGGTAGCAGAAAGTTCAGAGCAATATATACAGAAGCATAAAATGAAAATTTGTGGAATAAACTATCCAAGAGTATAAATACACACTTTTCATAAATATTCAAGGCATTATTTGACATGTTGGTTCGAGTGAAGCTCTACACGTGCAATTTTAAGCTTCTTGATTTGGGCTTTGGTCCAATAAAGTATATATTCCCCACAGCTATCAGCGTTTTCGCTAAAAATACACGCTCACACCCTGCTTGTAAAATAGCCGAAGATAATTATTTCCATCTTCATAGTAGCTAGTACAGTTATGACTGCCATTGTCTCTCATTTCTAAGCAGAGACATTGGCTTTGAAATACTGTTAATGCAAGAAAGTGTGGTATTGGAGAAAGGCATTTCCTTAAAATTGTGCTAAAATTGCCATTTTTATTTTTAATTATTTTCATTGTGCTAGACAAGATTTTGTTTTCAGCAACAAAAATAAAATTATCCAGTACAATTCTCTGGTCTATTACTAGCTCTCCAGTCATCTAGCCCGTCCCCCTGGATCAACTTAACAATGCATTGAATTCGTTTTGAAAGCATAAAGCCAGCACTTAGCACACAGAATTCTTACTGACAATTTCTCAGCCTTTTAGTGAGGAAATTCACTGAATGGTGACACCTAGAAAGGCGATCTGTTGAGTTTTCACTCAGTAGATGCCAACGAAAACCACTTAGGATACATTATTTTTTTAAAAGATAAATAGAAAGGCAAAACATCATTGGCAGAATTTATAAAAACCATGTTTAGTGGAGGAGGGGTTTAATTCCAGGCTTCCTATTGGCCTGAAAAATAAGAAAGACACCAAAACAATTAACGTCAAAACTTCTCTTTCCCTTGACTGCCTCTCTTACTATTGCTACTTTTAAAGCCAAACCATGCCAGATCTGCTTCTGGGGCAATGCTTACCACATAATGCTATATTAGTTAATACTTAAAGAGCAGACAACCAGGAATGAGTCAAAAGTTTTTTGATTTGAGGTTACCAGAATGAATTTTGTATATGGTTATTTCCACGCTGTTTTATGGTGAAAAAGACATTAAGCTTGCACATCTTGCAAATATGGCCAAGGAAGATATCTCAGCACAACCGAGTTAGCTTTTCTATAACTCATGATGTTTCTCAGTTTCACTTAGTTTATAAGTGCATCATCGACTCAAATTCATCGATTCTTTGTTTGGTGTTCCCTTTCCTGATTTTCCGATAGGATATCGTATTATATCTGGAATAAGCATTCCTGGAGATATCTCCCTTCTTTCCTAACACGGGCTGCTCTTCGGGAGTCCCCGGCTGGGAACTGGGAGTGCTTAGTGGGGAGTCTTGCCTTACATGGTTTTCCTCTTTTAATTGAGAACCTTCACTGTGTTTCCTCTTAAATTCTATTACTCGAACTTCATCTTCATCATCATTGCAATCGTCAACATCTTCCTCATTAATTTCTTCATTCCAAACTTCTGGTTCCTCATCACATTTAGAATGCAGTATGTCAACTTGACTAGCTTTTCGGAACCCCAGCCATTCAATTTCAGTTGCCTGGTAGACCGTGTTCTCGTCTTCTCTATGCTCCTGAGGTTGGTGGAAAATGTTTTCCTTCTGTGTACTCATTTCCAGGTCACTGCTGCTCAGAGGAATCTTCTTCCATGGATGCCCTGTAGCAAAATGGATTAGTGGTGAGATGTGTTGGGGTTTCAGAGCAGATGGGATGCTATTGTGTAATACCCTAACTCATTCTTCTGGACAATCAGATTCCAACTTGTGCCTTATGGACTGTGACTCTGGGCTGCCTGATAACAATCAAAAAGGCTTCACAGTCAAAACACTGCATTTCATATAATTGCATTAATATCTCAAAACTTAAGTTTTTAAAATGCTAATAAGTATTGTATGTCTTCAGGAATGTCTGCAACCCAACCTCGTTTGACTGGAATTCTATTGTCAGAGATTAGTGTATTTAGTAGGATTACTGTTCTCTGAGGCACACTTAAAATGCTTCCCTTGCCAAAACTAAATATGCATATATATGTGAGTGTGTGCTATGTATGTATGTATGTATGTATGTATGTATGTATGCATGTATGTATTTGTACCATGCATGTGTGTACATGTATATATTTTATATGTGTGTACATGTACACACTCAGTAAAATATTTGGATTTAACCTCACATCCACAAATACATCCTACAGGGAATGCAAACAGTATCTCAGAGGGAAAAAGCTTTATTCCAATGTGAAAATGATGACTGCCCATGTCTACTTACACTCAGAGTAGTAGCTTTGACATTTGAGCCTGTCTCTTGATTGGTAAAGAAGAGGAACAGCTTGGGCTGGAAAGATGGCTCAGTGGTTAAGAGCACTGGCTGCTCTTCCAGAGAAGCTTGGTTCGAGTCCCAGCATCCACATGGTGGCTCCCAACCATCCTAACTCCAGTTCTAAGCAATTCCACACACTCTTCGGCCCCTGCAAGTACTAGGCATGCACATGATGCATAGACATACATGCTGGAAAATATTCACATGCAAAAAATTAACAAGTATGAAAAGACTAAAGGCAGGTTGGAGAGATGGCTTAGTTGTTACAAGTACTTGTTCTTGCAGAGGACCCAGGTTCGGTTCCAACACCCACATGACAGCCTACCCCTCTCTGCACTCTATTTCCAGAGGATCAATGCCATGTTGTGGCTTTTAGAAGGCTTAAAGCTTTCTAGTCACTGGTTTCCAAACAGTTGGAACATATTTACACACTGCACTCGTACTTCTTGTTGTAGGAGAATGAATTGTAAGGGAGCATACTTTTCTCTGATCATGCACTCATGACAGGCTTCTGTGCAAAACCACCTACCCACAGTGAACATGGCTAGAGTGTATGGCTTCACCATCCATTTTCTATGCAAGAACAGCCTACAAACTAGGCAAAAAACAAACAAACAAACAAAAAACAGTTGTCAGCTTTGTTCTCCCTTCACAGTTCTCCCTAGAAATCTGCTTTCATCAAAGGCTTTTGTTGTTTTTCTCTGAGTCCAAGTATCCACATACTGTAAAGAGAGAACTAAGCATGAATTACCAACACGCTAGTCCTAAACAGCTGCTGTCAATCCTCCACTTGATATTCTTCACACTGTAAACAAGTGTACATTGGATATTTGCTACCATAGTAGGCTTTGTTTTGTTTTGTATGCCCCCACCAAAAACTAAAATAACACACACACACACACACACACACACACGCATGATCATGATCTTTTTGTTCATATATATGACTCAGGCCTAACACTGTCAAGAATAAAATTCATCCTTCAATTTAAAATTGATTGTGTTTTTCCTCAATATTTTGGAATCTTTATATGCTTAACAGGCATATTCTTCTTAGAGACTTTATAGCTGTTTGCCATCTTGAAATTAAAGGGCACTGAAACCAGTACCTCTGTCACAGAGTAGAAATGTGCTGTATCAGGACCTATAGGCTGGATGACCCAGAGCCCTGGGATAGAACCAAATATGACTGGAGGGGGAAAATGTCAATGCAATGGTGCCTAACAACATTCTGCTACACTCATTAGATTGGTGTCTAGCCCAATGGTCATCAGAGAGGCTTCATCTAGCAACTTATGGAAACAGATGCAGACTCACAGCCTAACATTAGGTGGAGGTCAGGGAATCCTGCAGAATAGGGGGAGAAAGGATGGTAGGAGCCAGAGGGGTCAAGGAAACCACAAGAAAATCCACAGAATCAACTAGCCTGGGCTCACAGGGCCTCACAGAGACTGACCTCATAACCAAAAGCCTGCATGGAAATGACCTGGAAACTTTGCATATATGTTAGACTTGTGTAGCTTGGTCCTCTTGTGGGACTCCTAACAGCAGGAACAGGATCTGACTCCAGGATTTGCTGGCTTTCAGGACCCTACTCCTCATACTGGGTCACCTTGCCCATCTTAATACATGGGGAGGTGCTTAGTCATACTGCAACTTGATATGCCATGTTTTGTTAATATCCATGGGAGACTTACCCTTTCCTGAACACTGGAGGAGTGGAGGGAACTGTTCCCATGAGGGGGGTAAGAGGTGGGAAGAAGGGACTGGAAGGAGAGGAGGGAGGGAAAGTGCAGCCAGGATGTAAAATAAATAAATAAATTTAAAAAGGAAAAAGAAGGAAAGGATTTAAGCAGAGGCAAATTCAGTGGTGACACCATGTACCATAAAGAGAGAGGTTCCCTTACTCTCCACCAGACTGAAAGGCAAGATCCTAGGAAACTTTTTTTGCAGTGGGTCCCCTGACAGATAAACAATGGACAATGGTGAGCCCTGCCTTGATAGACTTGCCACATTAAAAGTAGGATTGGAGCAGAAAACAAAAAGCTATGTAATCTCCTCTGGGGGTGTCTTAACTTTTACAGACTACTCTCAGGTGAGATAGCATCTCTTGCTATCTCTGTAATACCAGATGCTGCTAGCCACACTTTCCTGTGACTGTTTAAATATTGGCCAGCAGAGTGTGGGAGCAGTCTAGGCAAAGCAAAGAGAAACTCTGAAATCCCCAGGCACGTCCCTGTTTCCTTGGCATCTGCTATTTGCACGGCGTTCTAATGTCCCATTGGTGGCTCCCCTATGCTTTCGCGGGTTGGTCCTAAACTAAATTGGTTAGGCACTACATGCTGATTTCAATTTGGAGATAAGCTGTTTGCAGCTTCAAAGGGGGGAACTAGTGATTAATTAACAGATTCTATTCTGCACTGCACTCAGAAACAATTTGAACATAAATATCTCCTTAGAAGAAAATGTTTAGAAGATTTTGTAGCCTTGTCTACTGACTCACCTTGAAATGTAACCTAGACACTTCCATGTACCTTTTTTTCTCACAGTTGTGTAAAGAACACAAAATCAATCTCATCACTCTGGGGCATGTTTCTTTGACAAGAAATAGTTAACGATTCTGCACCTCTTTCAGACATAATTTTCCCACTGAGGAGCTCGTTTCATAAAGTTACTTTAGACTGTACTTCAAAAGGAGAGTTGATACTAAGCCTGTTTCTGAACCATCGTGAAAGCTGCCCCACACCTATCTGGAGCACCACAATGAAAAAAGTGTGATTTAGGGTGCTCGCCTATCAAGACATGGCTATCATGTTGCCATTTGAACTAGTCAGACCAGTCCATACAATTTGGGGCTTGAGTCGTCTGGAAAGCTGGGGAAGGTGGAACTTGCAGAAGACAAGACTCATATCTACCCAAAGCAGCTTGAAGATTTTGAAGTCATTTCTTGGAACTGCTTCCCAAGAGCACACACACCAAGCACCACAAGTAGTGCTGTCATCCTATGTGGCTGAACAGTTGTTAGGAAACTAGAATTCCTGTTACCTTCTCTGAATGCAATGTCCTCAGCACTTGCTTCTTGGAGAGAAAGATCTTTGATGGCCTTGTGAACAACAAAGACGTCATCTTCTGGGTTTTCTGGGGGAAACACAAGTATTGTAACATTGACAACATATATGGATAAAGGTTCATGGGCGATTAATTCTGATTCTAGGTAATGTCTTTAAATTATGATTAGTAAAAATTATCATTCTACTTTTCTGATTCTTTTAAAATTTGATTGTGTATATTTAATAATTTGCTTCCAAAATGAGAGTCTCTCATATATATATATATATATATATATATGTACATATAAACTAAAATCCTGCATATATACATAGATTATATATCATTATAATATACATATTACAAATCCTGTATATATATTTATTTATTATATACAGAACTATAATTCAGAGCTCTTTAGACATGCACAGAAGGAGATTTTAAAATTCTGAGTTCTCTTGTTTCAAACAACAATGGTCCTGTGGGTTTAACAATAAATAGCAGAACTTAACATTGAATTAACATTTAGAAATTATTCTAACAACTCAATAAAGGTGGTTACTATTATTCTGCTTTATTCTGAGTGAAAGTGCTGAGGGTTCAGAAGAGAAAGAACAGGTACAGAGTTACCAGCAAAACCTAGACTATGAGTCCTCATGATAGGAAGCCCCTATTGGGACACAGGACTTTATTTCTGCAGTCTATCTTACTTATATAATACTAGTTTATATTAAAAAAGTGTGGGGGAACCAAGTTGGTTTGCAAATCAAAACAATTCAACTGAGAAGAGGAAATACTTTACCATGGAGAATCTTCTCATCTGCAGACTCTTTGGGCAGTATGTTTTCTATAGTGTTTCCACGCTCTTCTTGATTTCCTCTTGCAGGTAAATCTTCAACACTGGGCTCATCCCTGTAGTATGGCTGAGTCTCATCTGCATCATCTGTGCCCTTGCTGGTTTGAGTGATATGCTGTTGGTCATTCTCAGGCGGTCTGTCCCCGTTACACTCTGTCCCACTTGGTGTCACAGGAACATCTGTCATGATGATCACTGAGGTCTGATTTAGGGAAAGCAATGGAGGAAGTAAGGAAGTTGTCTTTGATAAGATCTAATGTTGCAGGTCCTACAGTTCCAAAACCTAGCCTAAAAACATAAACTTTCACTCTGAAATCTAAAAACAAGATTCCTTCTGAAGGTTTTTGGGGCTCAGAAGGAATGTGATAGGGCTTGTCAGTTTGGTTGCCAGCCCAGGAGCAAAAACCAGCCAATCAGCAGCCTCCCCACCACCTGACAGCCCCACTCTTAGAATTAATGTTGCCCTTCAATTTGCATAAACAAACAATCTGAAGCAATCACGCTTTTGTGTTGGCATGCAGAGGGGGACTTGCAGCTTGTCAGTCCCCCTCTGGGAACAGAGATTTTTGTCCTTTTCCATAATGGCCCATTGTAATTTTCCTTGTAACAGGAGCCACAATTGTTCCCAGGCTTTAATCCAGAGAGAATGACCACCTTGAGGCACATTAGTTCTGTGTAACCAGCTTAACATTTCCAAACAGATTTGGTTCAAGTAAACCCTCAGCTATTTTGTAGGAAACAAAGGCATCGTTTCTCATTTATTAAAAAATAAAACCAGCCTTTCAAGGACCTGTAAACATGACAACTTGATTGTAAATGCCTTTGGCAACAGATTTCATGGTATGCCTTCAGGAAGCTGAGAGGGGACCTAAGGGAAAAACAAGCAAATTCTCCTGATGTGCTAAGAGCAAGAATTTCACAGTCTTGGTGTAATTCATCTTGTCTTGGGCTTCCAATTTTCCAGCTTCTTTATATCTGTGGTATATTTATACCTTATCTAATAAAACCCTAGTATAATTTTCCCATGAAATTTTCCCTTGCTGCAACCAGAATTCTCCTTAGCCTTCTATACTGGTATTTTTGATGCAGTCTGCCCTGCGGTGATTGGTTGAAACTAGGCAAGAGGCTCACTTCCCTTTCCCTTTTAAAGGAATACATTCTTTCTCTTTTCAGGATTTCTCAGCCCTTCCTCAAGGCCAAACCATTGGACCGAAGACCTCTTCTGAGCCCTCAGTTCCAGGCTAACATATCAGTCCTTTAATGACTCTTTCCCTCACCCACACTTTTCTCTTCAGAGTTTAATTGATTTTGATTTACTAGGTAATTCCAAAATGATGACTCTTTGCCAACTCGAATCTAAACTTCACCAGAGCAGGATTAAGGGAATTCACTTGCTCTTGTACTTATCATGCACTAAGAAACCATCCTGGAAGAAATGAAGACATTCTAAAGAGAAACACTCGTGCCCCTCCTTCAGCTATCAGACTACTGAACAGTAGTTCTCAGGGAATTGGAACTTCCTTAAGCATTTCATGCTGGGAGAAGAAATAAGATGAAGCCTGGTGCCAGCTAGAGAAGACACTCGTATCCCAGGAAGACTTTTCATTCATGTCTGTAATGTTATCAGACACCTTGCAGCAGGGGGTGGAACTATGTCCAAGATGAGCAAAACCACAAGTTGGCCAAGACTACTTAACAGTTAGGCATAGCTCTTTCGGTCCATTAAACCAAAAGCTCATGTCAGCACCCCATGATGAACTTGAGTTCATGACTAGATCTTCCATACTGAACAACTCAGTTCTCTGTGCTTGGCTGCATCGGACTCTTCAGTTGGACCACTGATAATGTGTAGCCAAGCCGACTTTGTTAGTGCTACCAGAAATTGTGGCTGCCTTCTCATGATCACATGACCATATGCTACTTAGCAAATCAGACCACTTGGGGTTCTTGGTATCATTTATAAATGATTTAATAATGGACTCAAAAGGAAGCGCAAAGACAATCTTACTAGTTTAAAAGAAAATCCCCAAGGCAAACAAGCTCTAAATCCCTACACCTGCCTGTGAAAGAAAGACTCAGAAGAGGAAGAGAGGAAACTGGACCCTTTGCCTGTGGGGAAGTCGGCCATGTGATAGGCAAGCAACCACACAGCACAGAGGAAAGCTTTGGAGAAATGATAAGGAAGCCCAAGTTGCCCAAAAAAAGCATACTTAGATTCAGGCCAACACCCAAAAGGGTGAGAAGGGGAGAAAAGGGAAAAGTTACACAATTCTGAGCTAGGACTCAGAAAAAGAGTCAAACATAACAGAACTTCTCTAAAGCCTCTAAAGCATGAAGGCACTGCACTATGGAATCTGGGGAAGAAAAGTCCATTATCTCTTTAAAAGCATAATTATTCCTCCTAACTTTGTAGAGTGGATTAGTGTGAGCCCATCTTCCTGTGGGTGGTACCTTGGCCACTTGGTTTGCTGGCCCAAATGGATTAACTTATGATGAGGAGACAATGACATGTCTCTACCTAGAAGTAGATTCTGTTTTTCAGCCTATGAGGGTTACCAGATTTTCCTTAATTAACCTTCAAAGTTACTCTATCATTAAACTTTTCTAAAAGCTCAACACAAATTCTATTTAAAATTTTAAAATATTTGTGTGTTTGAAGAAATGAGTAAATTTATGCCTCCAAGAAAATACACTTGAGAACATTTTTATGAGAAATCAAGAATAGAGATTGAGATGTGCTTGTAAATTTATCTCCTTTAAAATTGTGTCTCAGAGGATGGATAGAGAGTTCAGTGATTACAAACACTGGCTGCTTTGCCAGAGGACCTGAATTCATTTCCTAGCTCCTATATCTTCATTCACAAACATGTCATTCCAATATTAGATGATCCAATGACCTCTTCTGGCCTTTGCTGGAACCAGCCATACAAGTGCTGCACAGATACACCAACAGGAAAAACACCCATATACATAAACTGAAATTTAAAAGATTTAAAAATTTAGTAATTTGCATAAGGATGAGTCCACATGATTTTTTTATTAGGGACAGCAAACACATGTTACTGTGATGGCATATACTCAATCCTGTCCCAGAGAGACATCTCCAGCAGAGACTGAGACTCCATCACTTGTTGTCATTCTAGCACACTGACTATTTGTTAGATGGCTAGGATGTTACATAGCTGGTAAGCCCTCAGATGAAAGGATGTGATGGTGGGAGACTCTAAGTTCAGTAGAGGCTTTCTCACATCAGGAAGAGTTTCATTCAGGACTTAGGAAGCTAACTCAGAATCTCACAATCACAGAAAGATTTCTGAGTCAGTAGCTCCACATTTAATCTAGAGAATTTGAAGAAGGAGATTAATGGATCGCAGAGGGTGAATTTTGGAAGGAAGTTTACCAATGGGGAACTTAAGAGAAAGAAAGGAGGCAGAGGTCCTGTGTAGCTGGAGCTGAACCCAGGAAATGGAGTACCATCAAGCTACTAATCTTGGGGCTTTTTAGAGGAATAATGATGACAGAAACTAGGGTGAGGCATGGGGGTGATGTTCAGTCCAGTTGGTCCACCCATGTGTCTCCTCTCAGTTTTAGACATATCATACATTCAGCTTCTAGGCACAAAATAAGCAATCATGCAGCAGAACTTCCCCTCGCATTCCTGGCCCATGGTAAGAACAGAAATGCAGACAGGACCAAGGATATTTCCAACTTCTAATCCAGGAAAATAATTAAAACTGTTCACTTCCAGTTTTACTGACCCTAAAACTGTTTGACAAGTTTTTCTCTCCTACTCTTATCACTTTTAATGGCACACACCATAAATGAAGCCACCTGCCACCCTTAGTTTTTGAACAGATGTTTGCATTGACCACAGGATCCATTACCAACCACCTTGGCAGCTGAGAGAGTTGCAGCCATGAGAGGGCAGCAGAGGGATGGGATGGAGGCAGTGTCAGGCATGCAAGAGCTGCTGGAGATAGTGAAGGGTCTCTCTTCACAAGAAATAATCACAAAGTCTACAGAGGAGGAGATATTGAAGGAAATCTACAAGGGCGTGCAGAAATTGAACCTCAAGTTCAGGTACAAATAGGGACATATTAAACTCTAAAACCCTTAGAGGCAAGAAGTGGCCCTCATTCAACCAAATGACCAGTAGTAAACAGAAACATAGAAACACTCATATTAGTTTTAGAAGGGCATCCCCAGTCACTGCCAATGGGGGTTTCCAAGGACCTCAGTTCAAAATGACCACAATATTTAGAATCTAAACCCATGGTCTTTTCTACTTCTAGATGGGTATTACCCCTAGCAAGTATAGCATATACCTGTACCCTAGTTTAAATAGAACTTTATTTGCCTGTGACTGTTTTTTGTCAATACATGCTCTGATTTTTTGTGGAGTTAAAATTACATCAGGTATGGGGAGAGAAAAATTAATCCAGAATTTTGTCAAATTTGGCTAACCAGAGTGTTTGCTTCTGTAGGAAGTGTTTGGTAAACTACAGAGAGATGGAGAGCCAGTGAATAAGGGATAGTGTGCCGATTGTTCCTGCACATAGGAAGAACCATGAGATACCTTTAGCACCAAGATGATTCTAACTATTCAATAAAACATGTTATTTTATCCTTACAGAGGTGAGTTGTTACCCATTGTTCATAGTAATCTATGACTTAGAAAGGCTGTTGAAATCTGGGCTAATGGTTCTTAATTCAAATTCTATTGCTTCATGTTCATTGAAACATGATTTTACTTTGCATAATATCTTGGGCTATTTTACTTTTTTTTCTATTATCTCTATTTTAAGGATTTATTTTAAATTTTATGGCTTTGGGTGGTTTTAACTGCATGTATGTCTGTGTGCCATGCGTACATACTCATGTATACAAGAAGCAGGTGTCAGATCCTCTGGTACTTGAGTTACAAACAGTTGTTAGATACAATATGGGTGCTGGGGATCCCACCTAGGGCCTCTGCAATAGCAGTAAGTACTCTCTATTGTTCTTAATGGCAAAGGATGTAATAAAAATTTAATCTTTTGGAAGGCCTCATCCTCCCTGGGGAGCAGAAAAGGGATGGGACAGGGGGTCAGTGGGGGGCAGGGGAGGAGGGAAGAGAGAGGGAACTGGGATTGAAATGTAAAACAAGCTTGTTTCTAATTTAAATTTTAAAAAAAGAATCTGTGGTTCTAA